CCCCTCCACCTCTCTCCCACTCTCTCCCCAGGTCTTCACCCCATTATTGTCTGTGTCCATGGGTTATGCATTTATGCATATATGCATATAATTTCTTTGGTTAATTTCTTCCCATCCCCACCCCCCTACCCTCTTCCCTCTGAAATATGACAGTCTGTTGCATACATACATCAATGTCTCTGGGTCTATCTGGTTTGTCAAATTCTTTTGTTCATTAGATTTTTCTTATAGAAGACCCTTCAACATTTCATGTGATACTGGTCTGGTGGTGATGAACTCCTTTAGCCCTTTCTTATCTGTAAACTCTTTGTCTGACCTTCAGTTCTAAATTACAGCTTTGCTGGGTAGAGTAATCTTAGTTGTAGGTCCTTGCTTTTCATCACTTTGAGTATTTCTTGCCACTCCCTTCTGGCCTGCAAGGTTTCTGTGGAGTTATCAGCAGACAGTCCTATGGGTGCTCCCTTGTAGGTAACTAATTGCTTTTCTCTTGCTGCTTTTAAGATTCTCTCTTTGTCTTTAACCTTTGGCATTTTAATTATGATGTGTCTTGCTGTGGGCCTCTTTGAGTTCCTCTCGTTTGGAACTCTCTGTGCTTCCTAGACTTCTAAGTCTATTTCTTTAACCAGGCAGGGAAAGTTTTTGTCATTATTTTTTATAATAGGTTTTCAATTTCTTGCTGTCTTCTCCTTCTGGCATCCCAATAATGTGAATGTTGGGCCTCTTGAAGTTGTCCCAGAGGCTCCTTATACTATCTTCATACTTCTGGATTCTTTTTTTCTTTTTGGTCTTTTGATTGGATGTTTTTTGCTTCCTTATATTCCAAACTGATGATTTGATTCTTAGTGTCCTCTACTCTATTGTTGATTCCCTGTAAATGATTCTTCATTTCAGTTCATGTTGCCTTCATTTCTGATTGGTGCTTTATTATGTCATTGATGATCTCACTAATTTCCTTAATAGTCTTACTAAGATCCTTGAGCATCCTTATAACCATTGTTTTGAACTCTATATCTAGTAGCTTTCTTGGCTCCATTTCATTTAGTTCTTTTTCTGGAGGTTTCGTCTGTTCTTTCCTTTGTGACATGTTTTTTTGCGTCCACATTTTGGCTGCTTCCTGGTGTTTGTTTCTATGTGTTACGTAGAGGTGCTATGTCTCCTGCAATTGGTAGCATTGAGTTTGTGTAGTAGATGTCCTGTAGGGTCCAGTGGCTCAGCCTCCCCAATCACTTGAGCTGGGCCTTCTAGGTGCTCCCCTGTGTGGGCTGTGTGCACTGTCCACTGTCCTGTTGTAGTTGAGCCTTGGTTGCTATTGGTGTCACTGGGAGAAGTCGACCCCCAGGCCAATCAGCTGTGAGGACCAGCTGAAACTACATTCAAAGAGCTGCTGTGCTGGAGACACTCCTAAGGAGCAGGATTTACTTCAGTGGAGCTTTGGTGTTCACCAAGTGCGCCCCTTGAGTGTGTCACTCATGGATGTTGTAGGGTTGTAATCCAGCATGGTCGAGTCTGACCACCAGGTGCACTGTTTCTGAGGCCTCCCAGGAGGTGCAAAGTCAGCCTCTGCCTATGTCTTGCCCAGAGTCACCCAGCATAAGTTACACAGAAATCCGTAGATGGCTGCTATATGTGCTTGGCTTGGAAGCGTCCAGGAGAGGCCAAGCTCTGAACCAATGCAGGCTGCTGCTAGTGCCAGGTCTGGGGCCACTTATGGAGAAGTATGGGGCATGCTGAGGCCACCTGCTGCTTGTTTGAGAGATTTTAGGAAAGTCCTAAGCATGAGGCTAGAGAGGCCACTTGCATAGAAAAGCCACTGGAAATGGCTTGGATGAGCTTGCAAGTAGGGAGGAGTGAGGTTTCTGGGAATCACCAGGGTGGGGCAAAAAATCTCCAATTTCTTTGGACATTAAGGGAAAGTTTTTAAATATTTTGAGGCACAAATTGCATGTGTCTGTGTATACTGGGATTTAGGCATGTATCCAACCCTGCTAACAAGAAAGTTTATAAGACACATCATATATTATAGAAATCTACACTTGAAACCTATATAACCTTGTTAACTAATGTCACCCCAATAAATGTATTATAGGATTGTATGCTTGAAATCTATATAATTTTAATAACCAATGCAACCTCAATAAATTCAATGAAAAATGGAAACAGTCTAGAAGAGTAATTAAATATATAATGAAATAGTCTCCAACCACAATAAAGAGTGTGGTAGAATAAATTATGATATAAAAATGTCATTATACAGCATATAAAAAATAATAGGTCAGAAACTAGTATATATGGTGTGTCAATCATGTGGGAAAATGTGCATGTATATATAAATACCCTAAAAAATTGCTGGAAGGACATATACCAAAATATTAACAGTTGTCCTCAACAGTAGGGTTTATGCTTTTCCATATTTTCCAAAGCTTCTACAATGAACATATTTCCTTCCTTTGTTTATGTTATTTCCAGTGTCATATTGTTTGTAATAGTATGCCACCTGAGAAAAGGGAGAAGAGGGAGAGAAGGAGAAAGAGTAAGTAATGGTCAGGATTTACAACTGATAAAACTAATTTGATTTCTTCTTTAGCTCCCAAAGAGAAGACAAGCCTTCACAAAAGTAACCCTGGTTTTCCCAAGGTACTCTTACCCTTATTGCTGATGCTTCTGCTGTTATTGGCAATCTCATTTTTTATCGCTTTTATCAGTAAGTATCCAAATGAAACTATAAAGAATGTCCACCTTACACCAACAGAGGGTCTCCATTAGATTCTGGTACTTTACAAGGGATTTATCCAGAAATTTAGGGAAAAAAGTCTTCTCTGGGGACAGGTGATATAATTAGTGGGAATCCATTAGAAACTTTATTTTTTATTTGAATTTAGTTACTTTTCTATAAAAATAATGGAATACACTCTATAGAAATTGAAGAGTATATGTGTGTCCAGGAGTTTGTGTTGTAGAGTGAAATATATAGGGCACCATTTTTCCTTAGACAGTTGTGAGAGGACAAATTCATATTTCCTTAGTGTTTATAAGACCAGGTCTTTTTGAGTGCACACATACATATTTTGGGATGAGCAAGTGAACAAGGATATGGGAAGAAATATCCAGGAAAAGTTTCCCATTGAGTTTTTACTTTAATTATTTCTGTATTGCCCAAGACATGATATTCTAAAAGGCAACTTGGCAAATAAGTAGATTTCTGCATATCTTTGGCTTTAAGAATTTGTCAAATTGTTAAAAAGAAAAAAAAAAAGGAATAAAAACTAGTATATATTTGGGTAGATATTTTATTCATCCATTTGGTCATTCAATAAGCAATGATGGCCATCTACCTTATGTCAGACACTGTGCCAGACAGAGTACAAGCCATAGTTATTGGTCTCAAGAAGTTCAGAAAATGGTAGTAACTGGTCACATGAACCAGTGGTTACAACATTGTATGGTAGTGTTGTACAGATAAGAAGCATAGGAGGCTGAGATAGACTTCCTGAAGGAGGTGGCATAGAGAAGAGAGAGAACATGGGAAAATGTGAGGAAACCTGTGAATAAATGACTGGAACATATGGTGCTAAGTCAACTGTGAGAAATGAAGCTGTAGGTGGGAGAAAGTAGTGGGGCTCAGATCATGAAGAGTGTTGTGTACCATTCTAAAGAGGGTGAATTTTTCCCCTGAAGATTATTCTATCAATTATCTCCTGCTGCTTAATAAACTAACCTAAAACTTAGTGGATGAAAACAGCAGCTATATATTTAGCTCATGATTTTGTGATTTGGTAGTCTGGATTGGGCTCAGTGGTCCTGGCTGAAGCCAAGAGTTAAGTGGGGAGAGAACTGGAGTCAAGTATTGCAGGAGGTCAAAGAGGAAGAAAAGAAGGAAACCTGGGATATTAGCCATGACCAATGCAAGGATGGCTTTCCCAGAGTGGTGGAAGCAGGATCCATTTTTTTCACCATTCCTCCTCCTTCAAAGGTTAGCCTTTGTGTGCATCGTACATTTAGTATTGAAGGAGAATATGAATAAATCCTTTTGACACATAATAATGAAACTGTCACATGTCTTTCAACTACTGATCTTGTAGCTATTCCTGGAGAAATCTCTGGTTTTAAAATCAGTAGGATTTGGGTTACATTGAATATGGGGTGATAGGAAATCTTTCCCATAGTCAGGATCTTTCTACTCAAGTAATTGGGCATTTGCAGGTTTTGTTTCTATAAAGAATTCAAGAAAGTAACAATAGAAAGCAAAGTCATAACACTACCAGGAAAATGAATGGTCTTATTCTCTTTTTCAGTTTTCTTTCAAAAATATTCTCAGCTTCTTAAAGAAAAAAAGACTATAAAAGAATTTACTCACACAGCATTGGAATGTATGAAAGAAAATTTGACCATGGAAGGTAAAAATTAATGTGTCTATAATTTAGTTGTTGACTATACTGTGTAAAGATCCCCCAATCAATATTTCTGAAAAGATTCACAAGTAGATCACACTAAGAAGCTGAGTATCATGATCATTTCAAGCTTTAGGTCTATAGATATATAGGGTATAACATTCATATATGAATATCTCTAATATGTCTGCGCAAGAAAATAGTCTTTTAAAATTTAAAAAAATTTTTTTCAAGTATAGTTTACATTCAATATTATTCTGTATTAGTTTCAGGTGTACAGCATAGTGTTTAGACAATCATGTACTTTACAGAGTGATCCCCCTGATATTTCAAGTGCTCCCCTGGCCCCATATTTCTACCAACAGCCCATTCAAGGCAATCTAGGCTTTTTCTAGCATGCACCCCAAAACTCTTCCAGCCTCTACCCATCACCCAGTTTTAAAGCCACTTTCATATTTTAGCTTTGCAAAATAGCATGTTAAGGTCTCCAAATTATTATTCTGCTCTCCCACCTTGTCTGCTAGCCCAGAACATAACAGAGTAGTGGACACCTACATGACTTTCTTTAGCTTTTCTTCTAACTTTCTAGCTCAAGCTTCAGCCTCTAGTTGGGCATTGGTTGCTGAACTGCCCACAGTAGCCACCAGTCCAGTGTGGCAGCCATTTGTTTCTCTTATTTGCCACAGTTGCGCTCTGCACAGTCAATCAAACAAGCACACCAAACCAGTGTCCTCAAACTCATGTGTCTGTCCATAAGCATCTGATAAAGTCTGACTTCTCCCCACATAGAGGTCAATGTCAGACTTGGGATTTCTCCCATGGATGTCTCTTTCCTAAGGCCCAGTTCTTCAGTCTTCTGGTTCACTTACCAATTTTTGGTTTGTAAACTAGTCCCCATGCATGGAGGGCAAGGAAAGTTCTAAGAAAAACACAGACCACTCCAGATTGGTAGGCGGTACTTTTAATGAGCAAAGGAACTTATTTATGAAGCTTATCTTGAGTGGCACCAATACCAGTATGTCACCCCACCCAGCAAAATTTTAAGTTTATAAAGAGCAGGGCTGGGGAACATCCAGCCCATGGGCCATATATGGCCTGCAAAATCATTTGGTCTGGCCCTGCCAAGGCAACCACAGGCAGGACTAGAAATTCAATAAATCTAGGAGCTTTTTTCATAGCTAATTTTTAAGTTGATAATTTTGTATGGCCCTCAAATAATGTTATAAATATCCAAATGGCCCTTGGCAGAAAAAAGTTCCCCACTCCTGATATAGAGGTTTTAACTGGGTCCAGTATACCATCCAGGTGGATCTCAACACCACATTATTATCTCAACACTATGTCCTTGGGGCAGTTTCTAGCAAGGAAAGGGCAAGTGGAACATATATTCCAAAGACAGGGGAGGAGGAGAGGAGCCCCTGATTGACTGGGTCCAGCTCACAGGTCAACTGGCAGTTATATCCCCCTGATGACCTCCTCCAACAAAGCCTCTTATATGCTCGACTGGAAACTGGAAGCCTATTTATGTTGGGGTTATTTTCCAGTTTATTTTGTCTCTGTGTTCAGTTGGGTAATTTCTGTTATTCTGTTTTCAATTCACTGATTTCTTTGGCCTCTCCATTCTGCTGTTTGCCCACCCACTGAGCTTTTTATTTTCGTTATTATATTTTTCATTTATAAATTTCCATCTGTTTCTGTTTTACACTTTAATTTCTTTGCTGAGATTTTCTATTTCTTTGCTGAGGCTTTTTATTTTATCCCTTGGTTCATACATGTTTGAACTTTTTTGTTGTAGCATCTTTGTCATGGTTTCTTTAAAATCTTGGTCAGATAATTCTAATATTTCTGTTTGCTTGGTACTGGCATGTATTTATTTTCTTTTCTGAAATTAATTTTGAGAACTTTGTGGTTCTTAGATTTTCTATTGAAATCTGGATATTTTTGTATTATGTCCTGAGCATCTGAATCTTATTTAAACCTTCTGGTTTAGCTGGCTTTTCCTGATACCACTCTGGCAAGAATAAAGAGGCCCTGCTTTGTTACTGCCTGATGTAGATAGACTTGACCTTGACATCTAATGGGTGTGGCTCCTTGTTACCTCTGGGTGAAGATGGCGGTTCTAGTTTCCATGTGGTCCCCCTTCTTTCTTAATTTTCCCCCCAGAGTTACTGAGATATTGTTGATTAAGGACTACAGTGTGATGAGGTGATACATGTACATTTCAGTAATAACCACAATAAGGTTAGTTACCTTAATCCCCTCACATAATTACCTTTTATGTGTGATGGTAGCATTTAAAATATACTCTACTAACAACTATCAATTATGTAATACAGTATTATTCATTAAAGTGACCATGCTGTATATTAGATTCCCAGAACTTACTCATCTTAGAGCTGAAAGTTTGTACCCTTTAATCAACATCTCCCCATTTCCCTTACCACCAGCCCCTGGCAATTGCTATTGTACTCCCTGTTTCTGTGAGTTTGGCTTTACTTATTTTTACTTTTTTAATTTAAAGAGAATTTTATTTTTCAATTGCAGTTTACATTCAATATTATTTTATATTAGTTTCAGGTGTACAGCACTTACTTTATAAAGTGCTCTACCCAATATTTCAAGTACTCACCTGGCACTATACATAGTTATTACAATATTATTGACTGTATTCCCTATGCTTCACTTGACATCCACGAGACTATTTTGTAACTTCCCATTTGTACTTCTTAATCCCTTTGTCTTTTTCACTAGGCCCCCAACCCTGTCAGGAGCAGGTGACGTGTCTGGACATGGTCCACGCCACCTGAGGGGCTGGAGTCAAGGACTCGACCCTCCCCACAATTACCCTTGATGTTGGGAGCCCGCTAAGTGTTTGGACATGGTCCATGTAGCCTGAGGGCTTGGAGCCAAGGACTCAACCCTCCCCACAAGTTCCTGTGAGGAGCCGAGATAAAGATAATTACCAAGGTCTGGGCTCATGCAGAAGGCAGGATGTTTACTCTGAAAGAGTGTTTATGCAGCTTTGGAGGAACTAGTTTTTATCACCCTCACCCCATTATCACGTGTTTGTTACTTTCTATATAATAAAGGCATTGAAGCCATTTGGTGCTGTTTCTTTACTCCTTGAATAGTTCCTTGCAGTACTGCGGCTAATGTCAACCCTTGTATATGTGATGGTCCAATATCGGCACAGAGACGTACATAATCCGATAGTGAACCCTTCTTTTCCCAAGGTCTAATAGCGGATTGACATGCTGAATTTGCATTCTCATAAGCCAGCTGTGTGACTGGCAACATTCCTGCCTCTCCGTCAGGCACTAAGCGATTAACTGCCTGAAGCAATCTGGAAACAAAATCTTGGTGAGGCTTCTCAGGTCCCTGCCTTATTTTGGCTATTTCTTCTGATTTTTTGCCAGGTGTAGGCCAGGCCTTAGAGGCTAGTGCATTAACTGTATGATAAGCCTCCGGAAGGTAGATTACTTGTGCATCGTTGGTTAAGTGAGGCCCTTCTCCTACTAACATCTCATAAATTATAGGAATATTGTTTGCCCTGTTTCTGTTTGCAGCCTCATGACAATGGTTATAAAATTCTGATGTCCACAATAAATATTTTCCTCCTGTTAAACATGCTTTAGCTATAGATTTCCAATCATTAGGAGTTAAAGCGTCAGTAGCAATGTTTCCTAGGATGGTCAAAGTATACGGAGCAGTGGGCCCATATTGAGCCTGTTTTAGCTCCTTTAACATTTTGAATGACAAAGGAGTGTAATATCTTTGCACCAGATTAGGATTATTAGGGTTTGGCTGCTCAGAGACTGGCAAAACTGCAAACCCAGAATTCCACACCTCCTCTCCACTCTCTTGCGCTTTCAAGAGCGTTCTTCGCAGTGGAGACAGGGTATCCTTGATCTGTTTTTCCATACGTGGATAATTTACATTATTTTCCCTGTTACAATTATTCAATTTAGAATTTTCCTGATAATCTCTTTTCCATGGAGAGGCAGGTGAAGCAGAAGGGAAAGTTGGCTTTTGTTCAGAAGTTTGTAAATATTGCACCAACCGCGTCAACTGCCTGACAATCTCTGGAGTTACCTCCTTAGTTGTATTAGTCACAGCTGGATAGAGGTTATTATATTGTCACGAGCAGCCGCGTCACCTAGTTCAGCCTGCTCTTCTGGTGGGAGCTCCTCGGCATCCCATTCGGGAGCCCTACCCCCCCCTGTACATTCTCTCCTCCTTCTAACTTTTCCTCTAACATAGGAGCCTCCTCTTTTTGCTCTGTACTCCCTGTTTCACGTTCAAACTCATGACTGGGATCAAGGGAATCACGGACTAGGCTCCAGCGAGAGAATGTATCCATGGGCACCTTTTCTGGCCCATGTGCATGATACCAGTCTCGTAATTTTCCCCCTACCTTTTCCCATGTTTTTATATTAACTGTACCTTCTTCAGGAAACCAAGGACAGACTGTCTCTATGAATTTTAAAAACTTTAAAATATGTTCTTCAGAAACCTTTGCTCCTCTTGTTCTTAACATAGAACGTCACATTTGAACAAAAAGCCTGTGTGTTGAACTAGATTGCCCCATCTTATTTTCCTCCTGACTATAAAACAAAAATGCTCCCCTTCCCCCAATTCTTTTTCTGGCGCGCTGCCCACATACAGAGGGGTCCTCACCTTACCTTAAGCTGCGTCGTGAGGACTCAGGTCCCTGTTCGGGTGCCACTTGTCAGGAGCCAGCCTGAGAAACGAACAAACCTGAGTTCGAGCGGTGGGAATTAAAGAGACAACAAAGTTATGGGATCAGGAGGGCTGCCCTCCAATGAGGAGCACCCCAAATGGCTTCAACGCCTTTGTTATATAATAAGTAACAAACAAATGATAATGGGGTGAGGGTGATACAAACTAGTTCTTTCAAAGTAAACATCCTGCCTTCTGCATGAGCCCAGGCCTTGGTAATTATCCTTATCTCGGCTCCTCACAGGAACTTGTGGACCATGTCCAGACACTAAGGGGCTCTCAATATCAAGGGTAATTGTGGGGAGGGTCGAGTCCTTGACTCCAGACCCCCTTATGTGGCGTGGACCATGTCCAGACCCGTCACCGGCTCCCAACACAACCCCTTTCCCCTCTGGCAACCACCAGTCTGTTCTCTGTATCTATGAGTATGTTTTTATTTTTTTAAATATGTTTTTATTAATTTCAGAGAGAGGAAGGGAGAGGGAGAGAGAGAGAGAAACATCAATGATGAGACAGTCATTGATCAACTGTCTCCTGCACGCTCCCTACTGGGGCTCGAGCCCCAAACCTGGGAATGTGCCCTGACTGGGAATTGTTCCGTGACCTCTTAGTTCATAGGTCGATGCTCAACCACTGAGCCATGCCGGCCAGGCTCTATTTTTTTTTTGTACTTTAGATTCCACATGTAAGTAAAATTATGTGGTATTGTCTTTTGCTGTCTGACTTGGTTTTCATGAGCTTCCCCTTGGTCCTTAATTGTGATACACACTTTGCAAATTACTTTTCTTATATTGCATCTACATGGTCTTCTGTCAATACAGAGAACGTCTGGAGCTGCTGCCCAAAGAATTGGAAGTCATTTAATTTCCATTGCTACTTTTTTTCTACTAAAGCCAGAAATTGGATGGATAGTAAAAAGAACTGCTCAGAAATGAAGGCTCACCTGCTGGTGATCAATACCAAGGAAGAGCAGGTATGCTCTGATAGATAATGGAGCCAAAAATCTTGTGTGGGTTTTGTACGCCTCTCTTGGCTAAGGAGGATGTTTTCATTGTTTTGGGATATTGGTGCTGTGCCGAACGGCTTTCAATGAAATTTCACATCTTCTTCCTGCTTCCATAAAACTAAATTCCCCTAAAATAAATGGAGACACTTAAAATATAATATGTGGGGGTTGAGTGGAAAGATGAAAATATTTAAGCCTGAAATATCGGCATATTATTTCAACGTGTAAATGTTTTCTAAATTATTAACTGAGGAGCAGTATTAAGTCAAATAGGGGAATAAAATATGTAAAAGAATCTCTTAGGTTATGAAAGAACAGATTTAATGTGCAAAAGTTTACTCATGCATAACTTTGAAGAAAACCCTCTCTTACTGAAGAAAAAAGTAGGAATGAGTTTGAGATGAGAATTCATTACGATTATGGATAGAAATCACTTCCATATGTATTGAACACTGCTCTCTTCTGAATGTGTGTGTCCCCTCTACATTTATATGTTGAAATGCTAATTTCCAAAAGTGGTGATACTAGGAATTGGGGTCTTTGGGAGATGCTTAGGCCATTAGGGTGGGGCCCTTATAAATCAGATTCGTGTTCTTTTAAAAAAGACCACAAACAGCTCCTTTGCCTTCCACCATTTGAGGACAACCAGAAGGTGCCAGCTATGACCCAGGAAGAGGGATTTACCCAACCATGCTTGTATCCTGATTGGGAATTCCAGCCTCTAGAACTGTGAGAAATAAGTCTGTTGTTTATAAGCTCCTCTGTCTGTGGAATTTGTTGTAGCAGCCCGAATAAATTAAGAGAAGCATCAGGCTCACAGGTGATGTCAGTGATCCTGTACTGCACAGCCAGAGAAGGCCCAGACTCCTGGGCAGAGCCCCCATGTGGCTATTCCTGGATCTTCTCCTCTTCTTCCTAAGACCATAAATAACTCAATTCAACTTGAATACTCAAAAGACCATAACTCCTTTCTTTTCTTTCCTCAGGATTTTATCACTCAGAACCTGGATAAAACACATGCTTATTATTTGGGGCTGTCAGACCCAGAGGGGAAACGAGCCTGGCAATGGGTTGATCAGACACCATACAATAAAAGTGCCACGTGAGTATAGAAGTAGATAAAGAAATCCTGAGTCCTGAATCATCAGGCATTTTAGGGTGTCCATACTATCAGGCGTTAAAATAAAATAGCTCACTCTTCTTACAACTCTTGTCACAAAGTTAAATAATTTTATTTATTATCTCATTCAGTCATCACAAGAACTCTGTGAAGCACATGCTATTGTTTTTCTCACTGTACAGCTGAGGAAACTGAGTTTAGAGAGTTTAGATAACACAGTGCATGTTATCCGGCAGTGATGACAATGGCCCTTAAAACCCAGGTCTATTTAACATCAAAGTCTGGGTTTTTAACCACACATCTATATTGCTAAACAAACACATAGTCATATTAATTAAGATCATAATCAATTGTTAATATTTATTATCTCATAAAACAAATGAACTAAATTCTGATAGTTTTATAATATCCCACATTTGTGTAGGTCTTTTAAAACTCTTAAGTACATTACCATTTTTAATCCTTGTATCAACTGTGTGAAATATATAGGGATATTACTCTATTCTTTATTTTTTAGAATTGTAAATAAAGGAAATTAAAGAACTTGTCCAAGATAACAGGCATAATAGAAGATTTATAGATTTTAAAAATATATATATATGTTTTTATTAATTTCGGAGAGAGGGAGAGGGAAAGAGAGATAGAAACATCAATGATGAGAGGCATTGATCAGCTGCCTCCTGCACCCCCCCCCCCC